AGTTAGGTTTGACCAGAATTTAAATGAGAAAAACAAAATTCCAAAAAATCAAAAAAGGAAAAACCATGTGCTCATTCAAACATCATCCAACAGATATTTAAACATCATGTCAAACATACTTCTAACATAGGTCCAACATCATCCAACAGAAATACAACATGCCAAGTGATAAATGTTTCATAATACAACATCATCCCTTATTCATAATGTTTCGTAATTATTCATAGATAGCGTTGGGGCTTCTGTCTGTTCCTTGAGCTTCTTGCCATCACTTTGCTCCTCGTGCACCTTGTGCTCATTGTTTCTTCTCTTCTTCCCTTGGTTGTCGGTACCTTGCGCGTCTTCTTCAAACCTACCATAGAGCTGTGCAAAACATAAACGGTAATGAGATCATGTCAAGTGATAGATGTACAGTAGTATTTGACCCTTGCAAGATTTACATACCTAGCAGAACTCACAACAACAGAAGGTTGGTCACCATTTGGAGCCTCACTTGGATCATCATTTGGAGCCTCACTTGGATCACCATGATCACCATTTAGAGCCTCACTTGGATCACCATTTGGAGCCTCACTTGAATCATTATTTGGAGGATATTTTGGATCATCGTTAAAATCATGCGGCTGTTGACCATCATCATTTGGAACCTCGTCAAAATCCTCATCTGATGCAACCGGCTGTTGACCATCATTTTCATCATTTGTTGAGGCAACCGGCTGCTGACCAACATTTTCATCGAAGCCTTCATCGAAACTCTCTCCGAACACTGGATTTACTGTGTTATCACAATACTTACCAAAATGACCAGACCCACCACACCTTGTGCACTTACGCTTCCTCACTCCAAGTCCAGCTCCTTCGCTGCGAGGTCTGATTCGTCTTCCTTGGTCTACCTGCTGCTCTCTTCAGAATTGGAGCGCAAAGCTTGAATCCAGGGTCCACCATGTCCCATTGTTGTTTTCCCTCCATAGTAGGCAAGGCATAAGCATATGTGGCTTTGAACCTTGCAACAGAGTAGTAATCATGCACATACTGCTGTATGTTCCCTGCTGGACCTGTGAGAGAAGTGATGAAAAACAAGGCATGAATGCATGGCAACCCAGTTATCTGCCATTGCCTACAACTACAAGTTCTAGCTTCTAAATCCACTGGATATCTCCATTCCCTCTTCTCTTTATTCAAATATGATATCTCTGCTGTGGTACCCGAGCAAAGAGTCATGTTCATTTCCAAGCCTATTGTCTTCTGCTTTAGTTCATTCATCACGGCAGGGATGATAATGTGGCCCATGAATTTTGCCTCGGCTATTCCTGCACGATAATGAAATTTCTGCATGTATTCTATCCTTATCCTGTCAAGCAAATCCACCACATAATGACCCTTTAGTTTCCGGATCGTTGAGTTGAAAGACTCTGCTAGATTATTGTGCACATAGTCAACTTTGCTCACTTCACTGAATTGGCTTCTGGCCGATAACTTGGAGTGGTGTGTTTCCAAGTATTCTTTCACTTTGGGATTCATGTATAACTGCCTCAAGTGGTAGTTGTGCTTCTTCACACTGCATGTCAAAGATGCTGGCCATAAATTGTCGGTATACACCTTTCCTTTGAATTTCTTCATGAAATTTGCAGCAAGGTGACGCATGCATTCCCTATGCTCTACTCCAGGGAACACATTGTCCACGGCCACTTCTAAACCTTTGCAGGCATCTGTATGAATGACCAACCCATTGGGATGTGCAATAGCCCGGCGGAGATTATGCAAAAACCAAGTCCAGCTCTCCTCAGACTCTGTCTCCAGCACACCATAGGCAACTGGAAATATAAAACTATGTGCATCAACTGCACAAGCTGCTACTAACTGTCCTTTAAACCTCTCTGTGAGAAAAGTGGCATCAATAGCCAAATAAGGCCTGCAGCCTACCAAAAAACCCCGGCGACAAGCCTCAAAGCAGACAAAAACCCTCCTAAAGCATTCCTTGGTCTTTGTCACTCCCCTGAATGTGTACTCCACGGTGTGGTGATCAATATCTACAATACTACCTGGGCTTGTCCTCTCCACTTCACCTTTGAATGAATACAACAATTGAAAATTTTCCTGCCAGTTACCATAAATAGAATCCATAGCATGTTGTTTACCATTGAACAACCTCATGTATGGTAAATCTATCTTGAACTTATCTTTGATGTTCTTCTGCAATTCCTTTGGACCCACTTGCTGGTTTTCTTTCACCCACTTCTTTACTTCTTCTGCCACCCATCTTGACTTGGCTCTACTGATTGTATCCTTCCTAAGGGTTGATTCCTGGCATGTGTGCTTAAAAGGATTCACTTTGACCTGAACATTAATGCTATTCCGCATTTTAGATGCAAGCAGCCTCCATGGACAACCTTCAGTCGGACAGTGCACTCTGTAACGTACTTGATCACTCTTGTCAACTTTGAAAGTACGTTCTACCTTGATGTAGTATGTCACAAGTGCATTTCTACACTCATTCATGGATACAAAAACTGTACCTTCTTCCATATGAGGGTTCAAAGGGTCCCATTCAATAGCTGCAAGGTCTTCATCCTCACCCATCGCGTCATCATCCACACGGACTGCATTGTGACCCTCATCTTGATTTTCAGTCTGAGGTGCCCATCGTAAATTCCGAATAACATCAGAATATAGCTTCTCTTCATCAACCCCAGAATTGTAGGCATCAGGCTCCACTTCAAGGGGGGCCCTACTGTTGTTGCCCACACTTGTCGAGCCACCACGTCGCTGTGCACCAACTAAACTGTTCTGGCTAGAGATGCCATTACGACGACTTGGTTCTCCCCGAGATGTTGCACCCGCCATCCTAGGTCCAAATGCCTGCTCAAGCACATCAACTTGCAGCCTCACATGAAAATTATCTTTCTCTTTATGCCTAACAAACATGGTAGCTAGCTCTTCATCATTACTAACTGTCACCCAATTCTTTTCCCCATCATAGTATTTGTATACCACTTCATCAAGCAAACCCCAAGGATATTGGCTACAAATTACCTCCCCAAATTGTCTGAAACTCCAATTACTAGCCATTGGCAACCGATAATCAAAACCTCCTTGGTATTTCTTCTTATCCTTTGCATCAAACATGTACCGGTCCCTTCTAATGTGCACCATGAAAGCAAACCGCAACTCCATCCTAACCGGCGAAAAACAGAGACGCAATCAGCACACTAATTGGGCAAACCTACTCGAATCGAGTGTTCGAATGCACAACTAAGCTCAATCTAAACAAGAGGCGAGACTTACCCCTCGGGAACCCAGTCGTGGACGCGGCGGATCTCCAGCCCGATGCCTGCCTCGCCAAATACTCCGGGGTCGCCGCTGCTCACCATTTCGCCCTAGGGTTCTTCCTCCTAGTTTAAATAGCTCCAGCAGTCCCCCACCTTTGAGCGCTCCGGCCGGGCGCACGGAAGGAGGCCGCGCCGCGGATCGAGCAGGTGGCGGGCGCCCCACCCGTGGCGTCGCGGGAAGATGGTGGGCGTCACAGGTAGCCGTGGAGCATAGGCGCAGGGAGGTAGAGGCGGAGCAGGCCGTGCAGCTGGTGGCGGGGCAGGTGCTGGCCGCGGCGCAGGTGGCGGCGGCGGCGGCGCAGGACAGCCGACCGGGCGGATGGGTGTGAGCTAGAATGATTTGGGGATTTAGTTGCACGGGCCTACATGTTAGCTCCGGACCCACGTCCACGCGGTCCCACGTGTAAGCTCCGGACCCACAACCACTAACGCCGGCGGACGGAATGAACTCAAATATGGCCGTTTGGCCTCGTCATAGTTGCTGTGCTCGGACTAGGGGCAAAACTGAGGACAATTCGCATCTGAGGACAAAACTGAGCACATGGACACCACTGAGGGCAAAAGGATAATTATCCCTTCCAACAAAGGGATGAATAAGGGAGGAAATCAGAGCTTCCCCATGTTGATCACCATGCTGTCCACCGTATAGCATTATGATACAGGGGCTAAAAGCTTTCCAGAAAATACTTGCACTGTACAAATGAAGCATATGGCAAATTAACTTGTGCTAATATAACTACAGCACATGTATGTATTATTGCTTAGGCTGATTGACTTAATTGCGTACCAAGACCAGATCTCGCTGGAGCGATGGAGTTGCGACAGTATGACTCCACTCGTCAAGGTTTAAATCGCAATGCCTAAGGTTTAAACCACTACCATGAAGCATTTTTTCCAGTTGAATCAATTTTACAGAAAAAGCATATAGTCCGCCGGTGCATTCAGTGCTAATATTTGTAGACCCTTCAAAAAGAAAAATTAAACATAGCTGACTAGCTGTTATTGTGCTAGAGGCAATCAGTCAAACTTTCATTTAAACACCCTTAATTCTTTTTCCTTCAATCAAAACAGTCAAATGTTCAACTAATCTGTGGGTGATCAACAAGTGAACTTTGTTTATCATGCCCCGTATATTATTAGATCATTATGCCATTCTAATCAATAAATTGTGATATGGATTTGACTTTGTGTTAATGTAAATTGCTAATCCAAACAAGGAATGATGATGAGGAAGTAGTGCAACTCTGCAGTTTTATGTGCATCTAGCACACCGAATATTCTTTAGAAGAATTAACAAGACAAATAGTCCATAGAATTGTTAATAACCTGACAAACAATTCATACAATTTTTAATAACCTTAGTAAATTTCCATTACTAATACGAAGTGTTATAGCTGTATCAGTTGGAAACATGGGTTTTCACATTAAAGGTTTTGAGTCACTACAACAACTGCATATTCAAAGGTTGAGATTTCTAAAATTTTAGTATTTCAAAGGACTGCCAAAGAATGCATTTATGTTGATGGGCTTGATACAGAAAGCGAAATAGAATAGTGAAGCTTCTTTCTTCCTTCTTAAGAACTGCATCTGCTCATTGTTTAGCACTAAGTTTAATATGCAGGAGTTTTTATACATTTAACGTTAATTTCTACTGCACTATATTTTTTACTGTCACGAAATCAGTAAACCATTAAAAGCACCGTGTAAAATGCATTTATTGATTAAACTTTTTGTCCATTCAACATGCATAAAATTTTACAAAGTGCCAATCAAACTTCGGCTTCTTACTTCATAATGCCCTACAGAAAAGGAATGGAGCGTTGTTTTAGGATTTCGGTCTTACCAAATGTCGGTGGCACTGAACAAGGGGATACTCGAAAGAAACCCATATCCCTTTTTAAGGAGATCATCAATATAAATGACTATGACACTTCCAAAGAAATGCTGAAGCACGATCAGAATTGACTGCCCTAAGGTCAGTTTGCCCAAGATAGTTGACATTAGCACCATGCAGATTGAGAAATAAGCGGCACAAACTACCGCAAGCAACTTTTGCACCCGATTCCTGAGACATATATAATTGATATAATCATTAGACTTATATATGGAGAAAAGAAGAAGAAAAAATTGTGAACAGAACATCAATCCGCATGCGAGAAAGATATAACTGAATACTCCATCTGGTCAGAAAAGCATCAACAGGGCCCCCAAAATAGAACTCTGAAGACTAAAGTCTACTGTATGTCTGTATTATCCTTACACAAATTGTCAGCTTTTGAATTTGTGACTGAACTGAATGGAGCAAGGCTTATATCAGTAGTACTCACAGGAGCATCCGGTCCCCATGACTGTTCACCCTAAGAACCTTATACCGCAGCAGCAAATGAAGCAACATCTCGGACAGAACGAGGGGCATGATCCCGGCGGACATGACGGAGTTGCAGTCGGACATGTGAACCCAGTATTGAGAATCAACAGCCGATGGAGAGCGGACTCCATACCCATACACAGGCAGTTGGCTGCCGACAAGGTAGATGAGGAGGGAAGCGGCCGTGTAAGCCACCTTCTGCCGGTGAGGGACCGTGCTGCTTGGCCTCTGGACCTCCGGTAAGATCCCCACCAGCTGCAGGGCTAGGTTAGGCAGCCCCAGCCTGCGATCTGCCATTGAATTTGCAATGCAACGCAGATGGACTGCAGCTGTTGGTACCTGCGGCATGGAGAGAAGTGAATCATTGGAATAACCAAACGTCAGCAACACTAACGTGAACTTGGCACGCTGAAATAAAAAAGTAACACTGAAACAGTTCCAATCCTATATTACTCTGAAACAGTTCTCAAAGAAGTACCCATTCTCTTTTCCTAAATGCAAGACGTTTTTGCATGCAGTTGCGTAAGAAATTATATATGTGCCATCGAAGAAAGTATTTTTTGACTACAGAAGAAATTAAATCCACCTTGTACTCTAACTAAACCGACACCCTAACCCTCATTTCCTCACTTCCATCCCGGTTTTCTCGGAAACGAAGGAGACCACGGTGGCAGCACCGACGATTTCCATGCCGGCGTGGTGGGCATGCTCGCCGGCGCGCCCGCCGGGAGACGGACGCCACTTAGATGGATAAACATGAACAAATCACGCGGATAGGTTCGCTGACGGAGATGCGTTTTGGAAATACTAATCGACGTTGATAATGCACTGACGGAGGCCACTTAGATGGATAAACATGAACAAATCATCAGACTTACACGAAACCAATTCGATACGTCGATGGGCTACTCAAATTGTGGCCGCCGTAGCTGCCTGCGCGTGCTGTTCATCTTGAGCGCCATGGCAGCCTCCTTGGTGTCGCTCTGTATATGGGAAGTGTGCGTGTGCCTGGTTGTTAGGAAAGGGATTACGGTTGCCGCACGGGATTAGTGATTTGAGGAGCTTGGTTAGGAAAGTGATCGCACAATAATTATAATCGGGCAAAATATTCTCTCCATTGGTTTGGAAGGTGATAACATAATAATTATTGCTAAGCCATTTTCTAGGCAAATACTAGTGTAAAAGTAGAATCTAGTCATTATTATTACAAAGAAATTATGCAAAAAAAAATTCCCAAATGGACTTTGAGCATTATTAGCTACAAGTTCATTGTGCTACAGCCTCCAAAGTCGAAGGTTAGTGTTTGCGATGCGAGAGATGATACTACGCGTTGAGATGCAAGGTGCTTACATGGCGCCATGGCGGTTTTAGCCTGAATCGACAGTGGGATCAAAAGGCACATTTTTTGGCACTTGCGGATAGTGAATGGCAATGCTGCTCGTTCTAGGACTTGCCTTCTTGCTACAGAAGGCCAGCTAGCTTCACGAATTGGTTGTCTTAACAAACGTTGGAAGGAACCGATTCCGCTGCGACAAATTCTGGCTGTTCAACTCTTTAAATGGTTCTGAATAAAGTGTATCACGCCGCCGTGATTTATCTGTATTTTCATATGGAAGGAAGCAGAATTGCTTCAGTTGATTGCAGGCGAAAAGGAACTGTACAGGAGAAGTTGCGGCGTGAAACACAGAGTGGCTAGAAACTCATCTTGCGTCGTGAAAATACATATTTAACATTTTTACAGAAACATGTTTTGAACATTTTTCTGCTGTTAAAAAAATTTAAATACAGAGCGCAGCAGCGCACGCATGCAAGCACGTACAAACGGGGGTCGGCAAATAACATCATAACACAACTGCGGACCTAGCCGTCGCCACCTCCTCCTCCACAAAAAGCTAGAGTTTCTGTCTACCGTCGGCACCGCCGTAGGTCCGCCTCATCTCCGTTGGACCTAGGACCATGAGGGCGTGGTGGATCTCGGCAAGGGCCGGCGAGAGGGCTTCGTTTTTAGTCGTTTCATTCAGTTTCACTAGGGTTTGTGTCCTATTCAGAAAGACGAGACGATGGCGACTCCCTGAACATGGAATAAAGGTCTCCCCGTCTAGCCCCCGTTCCGGCGGTGCGTCTAGCACCGTTGGTGGGCGTGTGGAGGTGGGTCTCCGACGGATCTATCTTTGGTGGATTTGCTCGGATCTCGTCGTTGTTCGTCTACTTTCGTGTGTCTTCGGATTGGGTCCTTCCGATCTACGGTATTCTTCATCTGCGGCGGTTGCTGTTCTGATGCGCTGGTCCTACGGGGCTTTAGCACGATGACTTCGTGACTGTCTACTACAACAAGTTGTGCCTGACTCGAATGGAGGGGCGATGACGGCGGCACGCCTTCGGCTCGCTTCAGTGCTTGTAGTCGCTAGGTGGTCTACGAATCTGGTTGTAATTTCTATTATTTCTGGTATTCGTTGTACTGCCATATTTAAAGATGAGTAGATCGGAAATTTTTTTAAAAAAAGAATTTTAAATACATATTGGAACATTTTTATACACTTTTTGTCAGGAATTCAAGCCCAATTAAGCCACAGCCCAGGCCAATCCAATTCAGTTCACCGACTCTGGGATTCCATGATTTTGAGATAACGCATCACCTAAAAAAAAGTTGATATAACGCTTCCACATGATCTGCCGCAGGTTAAAAGTTTCAGTTTCCCATCGCATCGAGAGTTCGTTTCGGATCTCAGGCTCGCAGCTCGCCCCGGCGTCGACGATGTGGGGCGGCGATCGCCTATCCGTCCTCCCTGATGACCTCCTCCTTCGCATCCTCCACTTCGCCCCCGTCAATGAGGCCGCGTCCACGAGCGCGCTCTCGAAGCGGTGGCGCGGGCTCTGGTGCTCCGCGGGCGCCGTGAACCTCGTGGCCCGCGTCCCCGAGCGCACCTGCAAATTCGGTGTCGACGACGACATCAGCTTTTTCTCCCGGCGCGATGCCTTCGTCTCCGGAGCCAGGTCGGCCCTCGAAGCCGCAGCCGCCGCCGGCAGCCCCGTCACAAGGCTGACCTTCTGCGTCGAGGCCAGCCACGACTGGAGGTTTCTGTACCAGGACAAGAACCACGGCCGCATCGACGTGCTCGCCGACCTACTCTCCCTCCCGTCGGCGCGCCACGTCGAGCAGCTGCGGATCGCCAGAAGGGACTCCGGCCACCTCATGCCTTCGGTCCACCTCGAGTCGTCGCCCCTGAGCACGGACTTTCAGGCGCTCAGCTTCCTCTCTCTGCCGTCGGAGACGCTGCGCGTGCTGGACCTCACCAGCTGCGGCGGCCTCGAGCCGTCGGCCGGCGTCGCGTTCCCGCGGCTGGAGTCGCTGCGGCTGAGCCTCTGCAACGTCCGGATCGAGCACCTCCAGGCCGTCGTCGACGGGGCGCCGGCGCTCGCGACGCTACACCTGCAGTCTGTCGTTGTCCTGGGGAAAACTGCTTCGCTTGAAGAAGCCCTGATCATCCGCATCCACTGCCCCGCCGCCACCGCGCTCGTGCTGGACAGATGCCGCTTGACGACCGGGTCAACATTCCGGTCCGGCACCGCCGCTGTAGAGATCGATGCGCCGAGGCTGCGGCGCTTCACGTACAAGGGAGTTCTCCGGCAGGTCTGTCTGAATTCGACGGATTTGGCATGGGCAGACCTAGACGTCATCCGTGAACGTCTCAGTAGGAGCGAGGAGGATGAACGCCGCGACCTCGTGGCCTTCTGGCGATTCGCTCGGAACTTCAGCAATGCCAAGGAGCTGAAGCTGAGGGTGAGCTTGCTTGACCACATCGCCGTGGTCACCGGGATAATATTTGAGAAGGCATATGCTTCGGAGCGCCTCTATCCTGGCCGCATGTATTCCTCGGGATAGACGAGGTTATGGCACGGTCAAAGCTCATCTTCAGGTTTTGCAGTTCATAACCACGTTGGTGTATACAGGTTGTCCACTGTGATCAACCTACGAAGTGGTAGGCCACTGTTCCCCTGACCCTGCTACATGCTACCTAGACAAAAGACACCAGGAAGCGGACAAGGACAAGAAAACTCACAGAAAGTCATTGTGCGCATGCGCGGAAGAGTTCTCTCTCTTTATCTCTCATGTCCTTGCTAGCATTTGGGTTGTGTTGCAGAGAAAGAGGGACGCCGCAGATTGGACCGCCATTAGAGGGCTGGCTACTCCTTCGTTGAAAAAAAAGTGTGGGCTTTGAATGAGAGAGAACTTGGGGCTGAGAGAACAACTCGCTTTGAGAAACTGAAGGGAGAGAACCTGTGAGAGGAGTGAGAGAGAGAAACAGTGTCATTCTGAACTTGCTATTTTTTAACTTGAGTGTGAGAGTATGAGAGAAAGCCTTTTATTTTCATAGGTAAAAGAGAGCTTGTTCAGCATATGAGAGGGTGAGAAAAGAGATAGCTTGTGTGAGAGAGATTGAACATGCATGTGACAGAGCTTTGAAGGAGAGACATGCATGGACCTCATACAATAATGCCTTTTGTGCTGGGAGATGCTGGCACTGTGTGGAAAACAACAAAATCCTACAGGTCTACTGCCGGCCACTATTCCTGAGGGAGGACCTACGAAGCAGACCTACAGAACTACTCCTGCTAATCGAGAGTTTAAGCGCCCACAGGTTCTCCTCGCATCTCGAGACACACAACAATGACGGATGGCCAAGATTTTTTTTTTAGAAAAGGGGGACTCCCCGGCCTCTGCATCAGAACGATGCATACAGCCACTTAAATAAATAAAAAGGTTCAACAAAGTCATAGAGTCTTGAAATAAAATGAAGGCGAGCTCACATAGAGCCTCGACGCTAAAACAAGAAAAGGCCATCAAGCCACAACCGGCAGGCAAAATAAAGATAGGAAAACTAATTGCCTATCCTATTATATGACCGCCATCCAAACCGGTTGAAGATATCCCGCGCTACCATCTCCCAACGGACAGATCCAGTAACCAAACGCTCCCTGGCCTCCGTCGGAGTGAGTAAGGACCACATACGGATCAGCGCCGTAGCACGGAATACAACCTGCAAAAAATGAATAGTAGTTATTCTGTTAAAAGCTAAATCATTTTTGCAGTTCCAAATTGCCCATAACAACGCACAAACTCCTACACGAATATGTCTAGCTGTATCGGACTCTATCCCATCCAGCCACGTTCCAAATAACGACCCGACCGAACTCGGAGGAGTAATGTTAAAGGCAATTTGCACGGTGCGCCACAGAATTCTCACCAATGGACACTCAAAGAAGAGATGCTTAATGGTCTCGTCATGATCACAGAA